AAAAATTGTCTTTTTACTAAAAGATTTGATTCGAAACACAGACAAACCTAATTTCGCAATTTTTCAAATCTTTTGGAGCATTTTTAAATTACAAAATGTGCTTTCATTGATGGTAACAGATCCAGGTGGTCATAAGCTTCAGTGCTTATGACCACCTGTATCTGTTACCTCTGAAAATATTTTTTATTTTTGCCACAAGAAATAACCTTTGATTTTTTATTGGAGCATTAGATTTGGTAAATGTATTAATATAAATTTCTTTCTCTGCATGAAATAATAAATAAACAGCAGTATTTTCTCCATTATTTGAAATTTAAAAACAAAGTTTTTTTTTTTTTAAAGTAACGACTCTCGTTGACTGCTAAATAAAAAAAAATTGTTCAACGCTCAATCAGATAGCCAGTAAAGATTTTTTTATTTGGTAAATAAGATTCGTCTTGCTTTCCTGACTCATATAATTTGCAACATAAAACATTGCAAATTATATGAATCAGAAAAGCAAGATGAAGAAAGCGAATTCCAAAGAACTAATGTTCGAGGAAAAAAACTAGTCAAATAAGAGTTTTTGGAGCACTTAGGAACAGTCACAGGAAAAGGATGAGACTTAATTGAATAACGAGTAACACGAGAATGAATTTTAGTTGATGACACAAGAGACGCTAGCTCTTTAGAGCAGAGTCCAATATAGTATTTATAAAAAAAAAGAAGAGAAGCAACATTACGACAATGCAATAATGGTTGGAGGTTGGCTGCAAGAGAAGGTCCAACTATGTTTAGAATGCGTTTTTTGACCTTGTCTAAAAGTAAAAGGATATAATTGGAAGATCCGCCTCAGATATAGGAACAGTATTTTATACAAGGACGGATTTGAGATTTATAGAGATAGAGAATAGAATTTGGAGTAAGAAAGTGTTGAGCACGATAAAGAGATGCAACCTCAGCAGGTGCTAAATTTGCAATAGATTTGATATACGATTACAAGAAAGATCGGGAGTAAGAGTTAATCCTATAAGATGATGGGTAGATACCTCATCGAGTGCATTACCTTTCATAAATATAGTAAGATCTAAATTATTGCAATAACGATAGGCTGAAAAAAGTTGAGTTTTATCTGAATTAAAGTTCACCAACCACTTTGAGTCCCATGCTGTAGCAGAAGTGAGAAATTTTTCAAACTCAGATACCCCCTCCAAGCAATCAGAGAGTGTTGGCTTCTTATCATGACAAGAATAAATGGCAGTGTCATCAGCAAACAATGCCACCTTAGATGTGAGAATACCTGGAAAATCTTTAATGTAAATTAAAAAGAGCATAGGGCCAAGGATTAAACCTTGAGGAACCCCTAAAGTTACAGGATATTTTATACTACGATTGGTAAGTAAGGATTCAATAATTTAAAGATGTTACCTGATACATAGTAAGGAGAAAGCTTATGGAGAAGACCAGTGTGCCAAACTTTATCAAAAGCTTTAGAAATGTCAAGAGCAATAGTCTTAACCTCTCCACCTCTATCTAATGCACGATAAAACCTATTGGTTATTATTGTTAACAAATCAGCTGTAGAATGAGAAATGGAGTGATACGAATGTTAAGCAATGGATCAACCTGTTTGTCGGCTATATCAGGTAGAACGCATTTAGTGGAATCGAGAGACAATTTTAATGAAAAGTTCTTAGCAAACATCTCAGTTTTGTCTTTAGGTGAGGTAAAAAAATCTGAATCATACAAGAGAATAACAGATTTGCTTTTATTATTGATACTGTTAAAGATTCTCCAGAAGTCCCGAGAGCCTAATTTTTGAGATGAAATACGAGATATCATGAGTTGAGTATAGCGGGTTTTGGCGTTAGACAAAACTTTTTTACAATGGTTTCTAGAAATAAAAAAACGTATAACAAAAATCTACTCACTTGAGTTCTTTTCTTTATTAATAGTTTTAGATATGATTTGTGCTTCTTGTAATTCTATTATTCTTTGAACAGTATGTATTAGAAGATTTTGTTAAGGCACATTTACCTTTTTAGTAGTTAGTACCTTGTCAAACCAACGCAACAATATGTCGCATAATAATTTTATTGCTTAATCAGTTTTCGTAAAGTTTTGGTGGTTTTTGGTGGTTATGTTAAAATTTTTTTAAATATAATTTTAAAGAATTTTAACATTGCTAAAAAAAAGTGGTTTCAAATTTTTGAATAGTTTTAGTTTTTTTAAGGCAGTATATTGATTTTTGTTGGTATGGTATAAATTAGATTAGCAACGCCCGTAGCAAGAAAACAAAACAGTATAAAAAAAATTTCGTTTTGGGATTATCATTTTATGTGTAGACTTATTTGTCAGAACAATTATTCAATTTTGTTATTTATATAAATGTAGCAATCAAAGTGTGTTACTTCATGTTCAGAACTGTTTGTGTAATTATCTGATACGGATATACTTTACAGTGACGTATAGCAATCCGTTTTTAAAGAGTTGAATTTTTAAATCTTTCTACATGACAGACTTTTATATTTAAAGCCATTATACCTATATTTAGACAAAGTAACTAGTATAGAGACATGATCATATCAGTTTCACAATTTTAAGACAAGTCCAGTGCCTTAAATTGAGGGATTGAAAAAATCCTTTTGTACACAAACTTTCCCTAATAAACCTAAAAATCAAAAACTTTCAACAGTAACTATGTAAATTTAAATTAAAAATTTGGGTACGATTTATGATTTTTTATAACACATAAAAGCTTTATTTTTTTTATTTATTTACTCTTATGTTTAGTTTATCTAGCACCATTGCCATTTTCTTGTAAAAACAACAGTATTTTTTTGTTGATATTAAAAAGTTTTGATAAGTTGACTTTTTGAAATGACAGGTTTAACTAAAAAGATTGCAAATTTGCTGCAGGAAAACCAATAAATGTTTTTAATGCCAAAAAAAACTAAAACTAAAACTTTAATACTGGAGAAACACAAGATGTTTCAAAAATGTTTGCGTAAATGATTACTTGGAACGGGAGTATACTCTACAGGTTTTTCTTTTAATGAAGCATCATTTAGCGTTTATTGTACATTTATAACAAAAAATAAGGTTAAAAAAACTAAGAAACATTGATAAAGAGTAAGAAAAATTTTAAGATAAAAGCTACGTTAAGCTACGTTTTTATTTTTTATCTAAAAATCCTAGTTCACACTGTACCATTTACATCAGAAAATAAGATTGTAAAGTACTGAACTGAGTTAATAGCCGTAAAAATTTCTAAAATAATCATATTTTGAATAAATACCTTATCTAAATAATAAATTATTGTAGCCTATAATTTAATTGAAACAAATAAAAATAGTCTAAATAAAATAACATTACAGTTAAATTGTTAACAATAAAATTTACAAATTATTTGCCTTAAAAAAAATCTAATTCTTTTTTAAAAACTCATATCGTTTTATTCTTGTATCGGAAAAAATTTATATAGAGTCTCATATCAATAAAAATTGAAAGCAATCATCTTCTATTTAACGGTGACAAAGGTTAAAAAATGATTTGGAAAAGCTGGGGCAAACATCATTTTTACAACTATATAATTTCATCTATCATAACTTCATTAAAAATATTTAAAAAATGTCAGTGGCGAAATTATGGGCCCGCAGGGCCCGCAACTGAGTGAGGGACCAGGCAAAAGGGTGCCCATTTTTAAGCCTGAAAACTATTTCTATTTGATTCTGTTAAAAGTTATGTACGGAAAAACTGTGATCTTTTTTGGTTTGTTTATTATTAAAATTTAATTTTACATATTTTAATTCAGTTTAGTTTATGGACTATCCTTATCTTTTTTACTATATTTAAATTTCAAAGTTTTTAAAAAAACCTTTAGCCAATCATTGCTTTTAATTTTCACATTTCGAATGTGATAAAAAACTCGAATGAAAATTCCACTAAGTTGTTTATAAAATTTTTGTTTTTGTTTTCTGTTGTGTAAGACAAAAATTGTCATGGATTGTATGGGGGATAGGGGGTCCCTTTTGAAAGCCTTGCGGAGGGTTGGGGGTGGGGGTGGGGTGGGAGTTAGAATTTAAGTTACTCCACTAAACATTTATAACATAATATTTCACATATAACATTCAAAACGTGATATGCCACCTAGATGTGAAACTGAGAAAAGAAAACATTTATAATTTAATTAAAATTTAAAAAATGTTAATGAAATATGCAAAAATTAAAAGTTGAAATTGTTTAACTATATAAAGTTATAATGCTCTTCAAGATGTTGAGCCTGCATTATTTGTTTATTTATATTTTTTGATTGAAAAATAGACAAAATACATTTTGCATGAATCAAACTTTGATTTAGGTCTCTTTTGCTTTTTAAGTCTGGATCAAAAATAAAATAATGCAATCTTGAGCTTTTCCTTTCTTAAATAGGAAGATAAAAAAGTTGCAACATATAACATTATAAACATACAATAATAACTTGATAAGGAAATCGTTTTAGATTTCAAAATGTGAGAAACTACGTTTTGATTGGCTCCTCATTTCTATTATTTATAAAATAATAATTTTATTGAAAAATCTCAAATTATTTGCTTTTATCAAAGCAGTTAAAAAACAGTAAAGTTCTATAAAAAATGGCCCTGGTTAATAATGCAGGAGTAAGAAAAAAGGTCCATTTCAATAATAATGACTATATACCAATGGTGCATTTGCACTTTTGGTATATAGACATTATTATAGAAAATTTATTGCCACCAACCATAGTTTTAACCACACCACCATTCACAGGTTTAATTGTTGTTTAATTAAAAAAAAAACCTTGGCATAAAAAATGTATATTAAAAATATTCCAAGTAGAATTCAAATTAAAAAATAATTTTTTGTTGAATATTTATTTTTTTGTCTGATCTTAAATAATTTAACGAACGCATTAAAAAACAAAATTACTTCTTAAGTATAAAATACCTTCTTAGGCACAAAATATTTCCTTAGTTACAAAATACCTTCTTAGTTACAAATACCTTCTTAGTTTCTTCTGTCTGTATGAGTTTCATTACATTGTCAGCTTTTTCTTCCTGTGTTTCTTGTAATACATTTTCCGCTCTTTCCCTCTATATCAATTGTAATATTTGTACATAAAAATATTGTTAAAAGGTATTCAATTTAAAGTAACCTAACTTTTTAAAAAGGGACAAAGACATTAAGACTATTCATAAAAGAGTACTACAAGCTAATACCCAGGCCAATACCAGAAATTTTAGTTAAAAATAAACAAGTAATGAAAGGACAAAATTTTCTCACTTGTAGTTAATCATTGATAACATTTTATAGATTAAAATAACGACTGTTAATTTACACTTAGAATTGAAAAAAAAGATGCAACGTAATTGCATCCAGATATAGAATTGCATCCAAGATGTTGAATTGGCCAAAACTAATAAGTAATAAAAATAAAAAGGTCTTGAAATAAAACGAGAAATTAATATAACATTATAGTTTTGGATTATTAAAGAAGGTTTTCAAAAAGCCACTATGTTAAAGCCATGGGAATTAAATCCTCATCTAACTTGTGTACACCTCTAACCACCTCTTAGCCTCAAATAAATATAGTATGAATTCTGAGTTTTTTATTTTTAATATTCTAAAACATTCTTATAACAGTTCATTCTTAAACTGGCTACTGGATCTATGTGCATATAATTTCTTTGGTTTGTGTCACATATAAACGTATAAGGCATAATATATAAAACTACAAAACAAAAGTAATGTTTTTTTTTGGACGGATTTTTAATGTTTCTAGGTGAAACATTAAAAATCGAAGATGCAAAATTAAAAATTTCAATAGGCTTTGGAATGACATTGACGGTTACGATAGAGAATTATAAAAACGAATAACAACCTAATAGACCAGGTGAATAAAAATAAGCAATTGCTTCTACTCAGTAATTGCTCAGCTTTACGTAAATAAAAATTTCAGAAACTTTGCTCAAATTTTTATTCACGTAAAGCTGAGCAAATAATCCAAAAATGCTGAGTAAAAGCAATTACCGTTTTTATTCAGCCGGTCTAATGTCAATGTTGATACATTAGGAAAACTAATATAAACACACAAAAGGTTTGTTACACAACTTTTAACTTGAAAAAATTTTTTGTTTAAGTGGTTTAAGATGGTATTTCAATTTTCTGCTGAACAGAAAAGAAAACAATTTTTTTTCAGATTTTTTAGCTTTTTAGTTTCTTTAGTTAGATTAATTCAACTTTGCTTGAAACAGTACAAAATATAAAATTTAATCAATAACTACAATAATTCAGGCTTAGACTTCATTCTTCATTGTAAGTTAATGATACAAAAAAAGTATTAGGCAGCTTCCAGATACAGCAATTAAAAAACAAAACAGAATAACGTTCGTACAAACTTTTGGTGTGGAAAATTTTTCCTGACTGCCCCTAACTAATAACATTCATATAACATTCAGTAAAGTTATATTGAGTTCGCTCATTTGTTGATACAAAGGATAGTTTGTAACTAACATATTAAAACTCCTTCTGTAAAATATAAATAATGCGTTCAAATTTTTATAAGATATCTAATGAATTCAATGTTTTCTCTTATAATTAAACATTGATACTAAAAAAAAAGAAATTTCCCAATACTTTCTCCAAATGTCACAAATTTATTATCCAACGTAATTTAAAAACGAACTCATTTTAATGGTTTGAAAATTAATTCTAGGAGCGGTGAACGCACTCGGGTACTTTATGTATAAAGTTTGAGTGAGAGTCGACCTTTTTAGGCATATTTTTTACATATAAAAAGGATTGCTTAAAACGAGCAATCAACAACAATTTAATTACTTTTAATTAGTTAACTCATTTAAATTATTATAAAAATCTGACTATATTCATTCAATTTAAACTCATAATACACTCATTTTAAAAGGAGTCATTATAATGAGAAATTAAATATTATTTTAACAAATTTATTTGATAATTATTTTTTAATTCGTTATAAAATGACCTAGAAACGTATTAAATCGCGTAAAAATCACATTTTCTTTTAAAGGTCTTATGGGATTTTCTTATAGCATAAGGCAGTTCCTATAGTCATTTCCCAATAATATAAGGATATGCAGCATATACATACATATATATTAGGAAAAAATTAGTTTAGAAAACAAAACCATGTTTTACTCAATCTTTTCATAAATATCTAATTTAATATGACTTGTTAATCTCGCAAGCGTAAGATCAATCATGAGGATATCTCAAAGTTTTAAGAAATCTGGAGAAACAATTTCAAAGAGAACAAGATCTGTAAATCCTAGAAAAAATACAAAAAAAAAATACAAAAACAGCAAAACTTAATATGCAGAAAACAAGCGTCGACATCATGACATCATCATTATCGGAAAAGTCTTCGAATAACACTTCAGCCTCCAATATTTATATTCCTCTTATTTAGCAAGATTCGAGATTAAGATTTCTGGGTTATAGTCTTTTGGCAAAATTATCTACAGGCTCGTGTATTTTGATTAAAAAAAATGCAAGATTTTGGTCAAAGAAACATTTTTCCGAAATAGATGTTTGTACACTCCTTGTATGTTCTATCTATTTGTAAGTCGATTTATGAAAAATAAAGGATTAAGATTTTGTTTGTATTATAATATGTATGCTTAAAATATTTATATTATAAACAATTATTATATTGATATAAAGTTTATTTATGCGCTGTAAAAAAAAATCCTGGGGAATTTTTTCCGGGAGGATTTTTTCCTGCTACCGAAAAATTTATCTAAAATAGGTTTTAACCCTTTTAATTTTTTGTTGTTATATTAGTACTTGTATAAGGATTACACAAAGGAATCTTTATAAAAATTTTAAACATAGAAAAAAAAAATGGAAAAGTTACAATTAGCGAAAAAAATAACAAAATAAATAAACAGCTATATTTGTTTTTACAAAGAAATTCAAGCACACAAGCATCTTTAAAAGTTTATCAATTATGAAGTAACATAAAATAATTATGATGCTAATGGCAAAAAATAAAGCATCAAACAATCTCCAACAAACAATCTCAAACTCCATCAAACAATCCTTTTGATTGTTTTGTTAATTTTGATTTAAATCATGGAAGTGTAAAACAGATGGAAGTTCAACCGCATTCAAATTCTTCGGGACTATGCTTGTAACCTTTTGTTTCGTAAACTATAAGAAAACGACATCAAGACTGTACTTAAACGCTTAATCTTCATACGTTGACGCAAATAGATACGTTTATAATAATTTAAAAATATAGTATTTTCAAGGTTCGCCAATAATATTCAAAAAAAATCATTAAATATGGCGCAACGTAACGGCAACCAACAACTTTTTTATAAACTTTATATTAAATGAATAAAGTACTACAAGAATGAATGGAGTTATCATATACAGCTAATAAAACTTTAAACTTTAGTTACTTAGAAAACAATTTTTTCGATTTTTTAAAAATTGTTTTAGTTGTCTTTTTTATCAAATGTCGTGTTATGACTTGAAGCAAGAAAAGAAGCTTAAACTAACATATGCTTTTAAAATCAAGTGGTTCTATTTAATTACCGAGTTTTAATAAACCTTTTGTTGAATAATTGCAAATACTAATGGTTAAAAATTTGCCACATATCCCTAGAATAATTCATTTTTTAATGTTTTAATAAAGATCATTTCAGTGAATTTTGTTGTTTTTTTATCCAGTGAAACTTGTTTTTTTTTATTTGTCGGTTACAAGCATACTCCCGAGACGACTTGAAAATGCTTTGATGTTTGCGGCTCGATGAACTTCCATCTGTTTTACACTTCCATGTTTAAATCGAAATACATATTTTCATTGTTCAAAAAAAAACTCATGGTTTTTACAATTCTTTTTGATTGCACGTCCTCTTCTTTTGTAAACTATTCACGCACTTGAAAATAGTGCTATATAGACAGTTGCTTAATTCTGTAAAAGCAAGTCTTGAATTATAAATTCTTTTATAGACAAAACAATCTTGAAAATTAATAAACTCCATAATTCCACACTTCAAAGATAAAGCGTCATCATTTATGCTTCACTGATATAAAATTTAATACATGGTTATTCTTTTTTAAAGTTACACTCATTGAGCTGAAATATGAAAATAATTTGCTGGTTTAAGAAAGTCATAAAAGTAAAAAATTGAGATTCAAAGTGATAAAATCATATTTTTTATGTTCATATAATAAAAGACTAAATGATACAGAAGTTAAGTAAAAAATACCAACCTGACAATTAGAACTAATTTTTGATATATAATGATTCGTTATTAACAAAACTTATCATTAAAAGATCAAATTTAAGCCACTTTTTGTTGAAACAATAGGTTTCAACAAAAAGTGGCTACCTACTGCTATGTTTTTCCGCATTAAAAAAAAAAAAAAAAATTTAATATTGTTAAAATATTAAAATTTTTTACTAAGTTATGACTTTAAACTTTTTTTTAATTTCAATGAAAAACACTGGGAAATTTGAGCATACTCATATTACACAAAAATGGCATCTTTAAATAAAGTCAAAATGTTTCTATGCATTGTTTTTTCAATCAAAAATGGATTGGACTTTTAGCTAACGTATTTTTCTTTATGAAAAAATTAATTTCTTTATTTTAGCACTAAAATTTCGCGCCACAGATTTATTTGCGCGTGATGATATTATTTTAATAACGCAAAAAATTTAACAGTGTTTTGATTAGATGATAGCCGCTAATTACTGCATATAAATTTACGACAGTTGTACTGATTCCTGTTATCACCACACAAAGACGATTCGAAAATATCAAAGCAATTTTAACTTTATTTCTTACATTTAAGAAATTTTTAAGTATGCTCATATTACTCTTATCTACCCTACACTAGCTGGCAAACGTTAGCAAGAATCAGGTAACAAAGAATCAGGTAGCAAGAATCTGATGAGAATAAATCCGAATAACATTGTTTTATTGCACTTCGATACACATTTTCTTCAGAATTGGTATTAAGTTTATTTGCATTTTGTATTGTTTGTCCGTATTTCGATCACAAAAAGTTTTGCGAAAAGTTTATTAAATCTATTTTTAGCACC